CCTATGGACTGACAAAAAAAAAAACCACACAAATATGTCTTGAAAAAAGTGCAGCCAGAGTGCTCTTTGGAGGCCAAGATGCTAAAGTTTCATCTCACATACTTTGGACATGTTGCTAGAAGAGGCTCTTCTTGGAGAAGGACATCATGCTTGGAGGGTGAGTGAAGGAGAGGAAGATCCACAACCAGATGGGTTGACACAGTGACTGCAACAATGGTCTGTGTGTTAGTGATTGTGAGGATGGCACAGGAGAGGACAAGGTTCAGATTTGCTGTTCACAGGTTCTCTATGATTCGTGCTTGCCTCAATGGCACCTAACAATAATAGTAAAAATCTAGATTTTCTTGAAGAGACTGTTTGTGCAATTATGGACACCAAAGGCAATTCTGGTGAAGAAGAAAAGTGATGAGAGTTTGTTTACACAGGATGCAATGCAGAAGCTGAGACAGAGAAACAGAAGCCTCAGAGCGAGAAGACTCGCGTCTGGGAGCCAGACCACAGGGCGAAAGAGCTAAGTGCCTTTGGCTTGAGGTTTACTGGCGTTTGTCTCCAGTTACTTATTTGTACTTCCACAAAATTTTTTTAACACTTCCTGGAGCAAGGCAGTGGTTGCACGGCCCAAAAGGTCCAAGGCACCAAGGGCCCAAGAGGCCAAGGAATCAGGAAGCAGAAATTGAAGAGACAAGGAGCCTGGGAAGCAGAGTGTCTCAGTCTCAAAGGGAAGGAAGAGGATCGCTTGTCTTTGATTTGGTAAAAAATACGTGAAATGGTTCATTGCAGAATAGAATGTAAGTGTAAAGGTAAAAGGAATAGGGACAAGGTAAGGAACATGAGGACAGCCACGTTTGACTTCTGTTAGTGCTACAAAGGAAAACTGTCCCCATCAATAACATCCCAGTAACAAACAAACAGCTGCAAGGTCAGACATGCCATCCCCTGCCCCCAACCACCCACATTCCTGTACCTGCTTCTACTAATCCCTGGGTTTGCTGTTCTTTGCAAACTGACTCATAGACTTGACTTTACTCACAGTCATGGAGTTTATTAAGGAAATAGGTTAAAGGGTGGAGGAGGCAAAGGATACCACACAGTGAAAGTCCAGGAGTCCTAAGCCAGGCTAACAAAAGGCACAATTCCTCAATTAGTTCAGACAGCTTCTCAGTCAACAAGTAAAAGCCCTGGTTCAGTCCAGCAACACAAATACAAAAACCCTCTGGTTTCCTCAATCTTCCAGCAAGCTTTGTCACAGCAGTCACAAGTCAGCTCTTCCTTCAATCACCCTACAAGCAAAACCTTTAACTCTGGCTCTGTCTCTAGGGCTTCATCAGTTTGTGCCTTGCCACAGTCTCTGCACAGTCAGGTTAGCTCTCTCTCTCTTATGTTCACCTCACAGCTGTTGATGAGTTGGAGATATCAGTCAATGAATGAGTGAATCACGTGTCTGAAGTTTAGGCAGCTGGAGACCATGCCTCAGATGGGGCTAAGGAAATAGGTATAAAAGCCATTTTCAAAAGTTCTAAGACAACAAAAGTAAGTCCATGCCTACTTCGTTTACTAAATACTCTATCTCCAACACAGATGGTAAATTTGGAAGGTGTTGTAGGGTTGAGAGAAAAAGTTGTTATACCTGGGAGCAGAATCTTCGACACGTGAAAAGATGTGGAATTATTCACTCTAGAAACAAATCAACACAAGCAAGCCTGTGCTGCTTCTCTTGCTTACTGGATAATCAGCCCTGTATTTGGTCACTCTTGAACCATTTACTATGCAAGAAGGAATGGAATTCCACTGTTTGATTTGGTCTAGAGATGGGCCCAATGCCACCCAACTTGACTGCTTCATGATAGGGGAGATATGGGATATAAAAGGGGAAAGTAGCCCAAAATGTTTATTATTCTTTGGAGGGGTGAGGGAATCTCTTAAGCTATTAAGCAGTTGTTAAACAGAAAAAAAGGGTGGAAGGGAGAGAGAGAGAAAAAAACTGATCTCAAGAAACGAACAGGCCTTTATTTTGTAGTCTGAGAGGGATGCCAAGTGACCTGGCCTCACAGCACGCAGAGAGTCAAAATGGTGCCTAGGCAATTTTGGGATCCTTTGTATAGGGGTCCTGGGAAGGACTAAGGAAGATTGTATTTCTTGGAATTTGAAATGTTAATTAAGGTAGGTTTGAGCTATTTTGATCAGGCTCAGACCCTTATCAGGATCCATTGTCTGGTCTGGTCTTTGACTTGGCCAGCTTAGATGTTATCAGGTTTCTCAGGAAGTGATCAGCTCTGGGTGTTATACAACTATTATATTCTTCCTCCAGCAGTAACTAATGAAGAAGGCAGATGTAAACATTCCTAGTTTGCCATGGGTTGTGTTTGGTTGTTTCTTTACCAAAAGCCTCAGACACAAAAAAGGACATGATTTATTAAGAACATTTTATTATATTTCACAGTTGAACAGTTAAGAATAATAACAACAAATAAAAATAAACTTAAAATGGGTCTAGATATTAGACATAAACAAAGACACTACTAACATGAAAGAAAGCTTGGGCTGGTTGGGGATGCCCTCGTTCTAGGTTGGGCACGCGCTGGAGATCACAGCTAAGTCTCTGTCATCAGCCAAGGTGGAGGCTCTGGTGAGGTGCCTGGTGTCTGCATCCCTTTCTCATTCCATTTCCTGGAATTCCTATTTTTAACCTCATTTCCTGTATTCCAAGCTTTGGGTACAATGTGTATTAGGCGAATTAGGTGCATTAGAATCCAAGGAAGAATGCCAATCTGTGGATCTCCCATCCTCATTCTCCTAGCCCATTTCCCTTTGCTTCTACTCCTTCAACTACTGATTGTGGATCCTCTCCTCCTCCTTACATCTACAGGTAATTTGAAACCTGTAGAAGGCATCCCATGGTGAATGTTTCAGGTGCAAGGCCTTTCATTAACATCCAAAAGTTCCTAGAGTCTCACTCAGGTCTCCCCCAAAAAGCTAAATCATGTCTCTTTTTACCTATTTTCCTTGTAAAAGACCAGTTCACCAGCTTCCAGCCACAAATAGATACTATTCAAAATCTTTACATGAAAGGGATAGAAACAGTGTGCTTACTTTAACTGGTCAGAGTGAACCTGAGAAACTTAAAAGATGAAATCTCTTTCCATCCCCTGGGATTTTCACAACTAAAGTAAAAGGCATTCAGGACACAATTCTCTCAGGAGGTAACAATGCCAGAGCACTTTCTTTTGGATTCGATCAGAAACAGCTGCTGTAACCCCATCAGGAAAACAAAAACAACACTGTCTTAGAATGTGGTATAGATTTGAGAGAGTCAGTGGTCTCACAACTACTAGCATCTCCCTGTGCATTCTATTACATCATGTGGAGACTTCATTGGCAAGCTCCATCTATTCCCTGCAAACATTCACAATTTCCATTCAAAGAGGCTAGACGATGTTGGGTGGAAGAGCCCAGGACTTGATTCACAGGTCGTCACAGCTACTTTTCCATCAGTTTTTAGAAAACTTCAAAATAATGGCCTGTATTTTCTGTCATAGATGATTGTAAATGTTTACCATTCTAAACAAAGAAAGAGAAATAAGACTCTTAGGAGAGAAAAAAAAAGGTATTACACACACACACACACACACACACGATGCTTTAGAATCATAAATTATTATCATGATTTAAATTAACCTTATTCATATATTTCATTCACCATAGTTTCTTCATTCCATCTTGGTACCTTTGTCATTCCTTCTCCATAATCTTTTCCTTTCACAATCTTCCTCCTCACCTTTCATTCAGATCAGCTAAGTAATATGATTATCCAATAAAAATCTCATGATAACAACATATACAAGCTATTCTTCAAAGTAAGCCCTTCTGAGAGAGAAATCTCATCAGCTTAATTTTTCTGGACACTTCAGGGAATCTCTTTAGAATTGAAGTCTAGGTGGAGGAGGAGAAAGATTTGCTTTTAGGTAGACTAACGGGGATGTGTTTCCATGTTTACATCCTTTCTCTGGCCTCACCTAGGAATGTGGACCTTAGTTTGAGAACTGCTACCACAATCACCAGAGTCTTTTCTATAGAAGTTGAGAATTTTAAGGGACCTTAACCAGTCGCCAAGTTGGTTCTGTGTCATAGTAACCCTATATGTGCCAGAAAAGAGCTGACACAGAGTTTTCAATGACATTCCCCACCCCACCCCAGAAGTAGATTTGTTTCTTCAGAGGTACCTCTGCATGGACTCAAACATCCAACCTGTGGACAGCAATTGTTAACAGTTTTCACCTCCAGGACTCCTAAAAACCAACAAGAACCCACTGCTATCAAATCGGTTCCAACTCGTGGCAACCTTTCTCCTTTAAGCGCGTCTTTCTCCCTCAGCATAGTTGGTGGAATCTTTTAGTTAGCAGCCTGATACGTTACGTAGTATACTGCTAGAGGTCCTTCCCTGAAAGAGTGTGTTCCTTAGAAACACCAAGGGGCAGTTCTGCTGGATCCTGTAGGTTTCAAGATCGCCTGTTCAGATTTGTCTCATCCAACCCAGACATGAGTCTATTTTACTAGGATGGACCAGTCCTTGGAGAAGGATGTCATGATTGGAAGGGTGGAGAGGACGACCCTGGATGAACTAGATTGACACAGTGTCTGGGGCAATGGGGGTAGGTGTGTTGGAGTCAGTGAGACTAGCTCAGGACAGGGCAGACTTCAGAGCTGTTGTGACATAGGGCTGCTATGAGTTGCAGGCCACTCCAGGGTACATAACAACAACAGAAACATTGTAAGAGTTTATTTACAATAGCAGAAGATGCCAGCATTCATTTGTCTATTTATCTGTAGTCATAGGGAGCTGCCTCCCTGATCTTAAGCTTTTTACTAAAATAAGCAAATAAACAAAGCTCCCTTACAGAGTAGCCAAGAATGGCTGAAATGTATATTAGCCAGGTCCCTGCCCCTGCCCTGCCCTGGAGCATTTCACTCTGAAAAGGCAACCAGCAAAGCCACACACTCACCTAGTAGTCAGGGCGGGGCATAGGTCTCTGGCTTACATAGGGATTTTCCAGCTGATTCTTTCCAGGGTTTGCCGTTCTGATCTTAGGGAAGATGCTGCCAGATTGATATGAGTCTGCCACGGGGTTGGAGAAGCCTGTCTGTTGCAGTCTCAGATTTTGAAAATCATTTCCAATCAAGTTCTCTTCTTCAATATTCTTCCTTTTGTTCTTTAGTCTGAAATCAGGACCAGGAATTAGATCCGACAGGGGCCAAAATTTCCTTGAAGCAAATGCTAACATTTCAAATTTTAATTCATGAAAATATATGTATCAGTTATAAAAATATTATACAAAGACCCTATATCCCCATAACACTGATTCCTCAAATGTGATCATTTCTGAACCACTTGAGAATAAGTTACAGACTAATTATATAGATTTACCAGTGATACATTATTCGGTGTCTATTTCCCAACTTTAGAGGCAGTCTGCTCCTAAGCACAGTGTAACTATCCAAATCAGGACGTCGGCACAGACCCAGCGTTGCCATTTAATTCCACTGGCCCCATGCAAATCTTGCCAAAAATGTGAATATTCTCAAGTGCACTTTTGAATTACTTAGGGAAATAGTAATAGAAGTTAAAGAGAAAAAGATTTGTATAACAATTCCTCACTCAAGCAAAGTCAATGTTGACAGAAACACCTCAGTCGGTGGACAAAATGAATTCAAGTAATAAGGGTCTTAAAAGAAGAAATGGGAGTTTCCCAGGTTCTATTCAACACTTCAAGGATCCCAAGTTCAAATATTCAAAGTCAATTTCCTTCCCTCCATGACAAAACCCAACATTACTGATGTTGAGTTGATCCTGACTCATGGGGCACTATAGGACCAAGTAGCACTACTTTGTAGTGTTTCCAAGGCTGTAATTAAGAAGCAGACTGCTACAATTCCCCCCTAGTGGGTTTAGCAACAGCCAACCTCATGGTTAGAAGCCCAGCAGTTAACCCTCCATGTTACCAGCACTTCCGTTAAAGCTTAGTGGAAGTAATTCATGGAGGTGAAGGAGGCACTTATCCCCACATAACCCTGATCACTTGTGCCCCTTCCTTTCTTCCGAATATATAGACCATAGTCCTGACACTCCAGCATCTGGGCTGTGAGGCAGGCTTCTTTTGTGGTCTTCTCAGAGGCTCTCCAGGATGAGTCACCCTCTGTCACGTTGAGACTATCATAAAAGAAAGACCCACTCATCCTGTGAGCCTGATGTGCAGCCCAGCCTGCATATAACATAGTCTACACACATAGACTACATACACTTCTGTCCAAGATGTCAGAAGACAGCCCGTCCTTTGAAATGGGCAAGAAAAAGACAATTTTGGTTGGGATTCCAAGAATTAAGGGAAAATCTGGTTCTGAAGGAGGAGCAGAGAAACATGGTCTTTTCTCACACAATTCTGAGGATTTTTCTGAGGTCCCAGCATGGCCCAGTGATCCTCCAAGAAAAGAGATTTACAATCAGACCTTGTCTCACTCCCTGAGAAAGGAAAATGAGATATGGATGCTTGTGTTTCTGGCTCCAAGCTTCGCTCCCTTAGAATAGACTGAATGCCAAAATAGAGAAAAGGAAAAAAGAATCAAACTGCTTCATCCTTGTTATATGCCATTGAATTGGAACTGATCATCCAGTGGGTTTTCAGAGCCTGCAAATCACATGGGAGGAGATTGCTCATCGTTCTCCCACAGAGCAACTAGTGGATTCAAACCACTTGCCTTGGGACTGGCAGCACAACTCCTTACCACTAGGCTACTAGAGCTCCCTCAGAACGCTTTAGGAGTCTACAACATATTAAGCCACACACAGTATAGTGGAAAAATACTATTCTTATTTGGGTGAAAGAACCCAACTAAGCAACTGTGAGCTAGACTTTTAAACAGGGAAAAAGGTAGCTATTTTCAGTAAAATGGCTTGCCACAGAAGTAAACCTCCTCGGCACACTTCGTGCATCAAAGATATTAGCATCTCCTGCAAATTTAGTATATCCTGGTGGCCGCTGTCATTTGGAATGGACTCCATAGCAGTGGGCTTGACTTTGTGTTTTTCAGTACAGTACGTATTGAAGATGCTAAGTGACACATAACTAAGATCATTTTGAAAAAATAGAAAAAATTCTGGAGGAAACATATGCGAAAGTGTTAGTAATAGTTGTCTCACGATGGTGGGATTTATGGGAGACTTGAAAAATGAATTCTTGAGAGCTCTGGTGGCCTAGTGGAAAGAAGCCGTGCTGCAATCCTGAAGGAATATATTTTGAATCCATCAGATGCTCTGCTGAGAGGAGGTACAATCTCCTTCTGTGCCAGTTGAAATTAACTTGGCACACAACAACAACAGCAACAAATTCTGTCATTCATGACAACATTTATCTATTTCCCAGGTTTTCTTCAATGATTGTGTGTTGCTTACATAATGAGTAGAAAGTGAGGTGGGGGGTGGGGTGGGAATAATGACATTAGAATTGTTGTTGTTGTTATGTGCCCTCGAGTCATTGGAGTAGCCTCCCTTATTTCCCTTGTCTTTTCAAAGGAGCATGTTTGGAAATGCTGATGCGCTGTGCTTTGGGAAAAGGATATTTTCATTCTATACCTGGATGAGACGATGAGTGCAATCAGCAAGCTGAGAATGAGGAAGCCAGCAATGGTGCCCACGATGGTGAGGATCAGTTGAAATGCTGAAAGAGAAGGTAGAAATGACCTCCAGCAAGCAGACCCACAGCTGGCTACTGCATCGGTTTATATGTCAATGTTCTCAGTGACTCCTGTCTGTGAAGAATATCAAGCTCTAGCTACCCTTACCTCCTTGCTGGGTAAAAGAAGATCATTCTGTGCCATTAAAACGCAAAGCTAAACTTACTGCCAGTGGTATTGACTCACAGGAAGTCTCCATCAGGTCCCCGAGGCTGTAAGCCTCAATGGCCTCAATGTGAGATTGGCTGCCATCCATCTGGATTAGAATTGCCAGACATGCAGCATTTGGGTTAACAGCACAAGTCGCTACTCACTACACCAGAGCTCCCTCTGTCGTTCAGCGACCCAAAACTACAAAGGAAGCTGAAGGTGTAAGGTCTCCTTGGGCTTTCTAAGGAAGTGGGATCTCTCTTTCCTCGAGTTTCTCTTATCTTTGCCCTTCCACCATAGCTCACCTTGCTGATAAGGCTAACAAATGAGCTGGTGAAAGAGGCTGCTATCAGTAACTGACCTAATACCATCCTGTTGCCATTGACTTGATGACTCATGCTGATTGATTCTGATTCATGCTGCTCCCATGGGTTTCAGAGTAGAAGCATATTCCATGGATTTTTCATGGCTGTGACCTTATGGGAATAGATTGCCAGGCGTTTCTTCCAAGACTACTCTGAGTGGGTCCAAATAGCTAGCCTTTCAGCGTTTTATGCCACCCAGAGACTGCCACGTTACAAATACAGGAAACAAGTAATGGTCTGATGGAAATGGTGAGGAAGGCATCTGGAAGCTGATTTTATCCATTCTCTTCCTGTTTGTCTGCTCTGTCTAGTACTATCAAGGGTCTGAAATGTGGCTGGGGTGTAACACAATGGAGTTCAAAGGCTTAGTATAAAAGCAACGTAACACATCTCAATAATTTTTATATTGCTTACTTGTTAACAGGATAATATTTTGGATATAACTGGGTTGTTGTTAGGTATTGTAGTTTCTGACTCAGTGATCCTATTACAGTAGAATACGCATTGCTTGGTCCTGTGTCACCCTTACAGTTGCTACTGCGTATGAGTTTCAGGCACTGTGTCAAACCATCTCTTTGGGAATGTGTGTGTGTGTGTTTATTTTCCATTGCTTCTCTTCTTTACCAAGTGCCAGCTATAATGGGTTGACTAAAATATGATATTAAAGTTAATTTCATTCAAAAAGTTAGCACAATTTTTAAAAGTTCAGAATTAAATGGTCACTTATTTCTGTTGGACAGCAGTACTCTGATGTGTGCTATTAAATCAATTCTGATTGATAACAACCCTGGAGGATAGACTAACTCTGCCCCATTGGGGTTTCTAAAGCTGGAAATCATGGGAGCAGGTGACCAGGTCTAATTTAGCCTGTCAGTGGGAGGTTTGAACCGCTGACCTTTTCATTTGTAGCTGAACACTCCTAACCATTGCACCACAAGAGCTCCTTAGCTCCGCTCTACTCCTTGCTATGAGTCCATTCCCACTCTTAACAATCTTGTAGAGGAGAGCAGAGCTGCCCGTGTGATTTACAAAGGGGCGCATCACCAGACCACTCCAACTCCACTGCGCATGAGCCGCTTCTGATTCACCGACACCTGGGAAGAGACTGTTTCATCTTCCTTCTTTGGAGAGGCTGGTAGAGCAGTCCAAACACATAACAAACATGCTCCACCTGGTGACCCTTCTAATTGTCTTTTTCTGGTACATAGAAGTCTCTCGTATCACCTCCGACTTGGATTCGGGCAAACCATAGACCATTAAGAAGGAAACTTTTTGGTGCAGTGGTTAAACACTTGGCTGCTAACTGAAAGATCCGGAGTTCAAATCCACAAGGCTCTCCATGGGAGAAGGCTATAGCACTCTCTGCATGCATAAAGACTGAAGCCTTGAAAACTATGGGGGGGAGGGGTGTGGGGGTGTTCTCCTCTGTTCTGTAGTGTCACTTTAGTTACAGGAAACTCAAAGGCAAAGGTGTCTATTTTCTTCTTAAACCACACCACAGGTAAGCAGCCTCTGTGGAACAGCAATTAAGCTCTCAGTTACTAACCAAAAGGTCAGGAGTTCAAAGCTAGCCAGTAGCCTGTTGGGAGAAAAGACTTGCTGATCTGCTCTTGTAAAGAGTCCAGCTTAGGAAATGCCATAGGCTAGTTCTATGCTGTCATACAGGATCATTACGAACCATATTTACTCAACAGCACAGAACAAAAACATAGTTTGGATCATTTGGTCTAAACTTGTCATTTTATAGATGTGGAAGGTGGAGGAGCAGAAGGAAGAAATTGCTTGGCCAATTTCATTCTTTGTAACAAAATACAGTAGAAGTCGAGAGTATTTCTTATCACCAAAATGTGACTGGCTGGAATTCTGGCAGTCAAACTATTTCCTTCATCTTAGGTCATCGACCTTTAGTCTATTATTATGTAAAAACTGAAATATAAAGTTGGTATTATTCTCATCTGGTATGGCTAGAGATGGGGAAAGAATAAAGCAATTGAGTTTGAATAACACATTCCTAACAAATCCATAGGAAGCTCTGGTAGCCTAGTGGTAAAGAGTCATACTGGCAACCCAAAGATACACAGTTCAAGTCCACCTTCTGCTCAGAGAGAGAAAGACGAGCAATCTCCTCCCTTGCAATTAACTGCCTGTGAAAACCTGTTGGAAGGACAGCACACGATAACAACAACCAATCCATAGCTCTGAGACAAAGGGAAGAAGACATGAGTAATTTAAATGTCTGATTCCTGGTTCTGCTATCCCACAACCACTAAACTGTTTTGGTATGTGTGGTTCTTTCACTTTCTTCTAGTACCAGAAAATGTGTATTTAATCTAATTCAAGAAATGAACAGAATGTTGGAAGACATCAGAGGGTGGTCTTCGAGGGTCTGAAGAAACACAGAGACATCAGCCTGCCTCGTGGGTTGAGTTCTGCCATTTCTACACAAGAGGTGCAGCTGCCCGCAAGCTGGACAGCGCTGGGCGGGGCGGGACAGGTCTGGAATACTATGACCCAGGACACGAACTACAGCCAGACTTTCTCTCTCTTCAGAAAGGGGCCCAGAGAACTGTGGGACAAGACCAAATTTTGAATGTGGTTAATATCTGCTTCTCAGATGTCTAAATAACAAAGCAAGATTTTACTTACGATCTTCACAGTTGACGCCAGTGTAGCCAAACGAACACCTAAAAGATATGAATAAGGAAGTATGAGTCCAGGCCTCTGTTGTGGAGCAAGTCAGCCTTCACTGAACCGAACCTCCTATTCTTTCTTCTCCCTCATTCAGAATTGCTGGCAGCACAAGTGGTTTGTGCTCAGCTGCTAGCCTAAAAGTTGGCATTTTTGAGCCCCTTGAGCTCCTCCAGGGGAGAAGGGCTTCTAGAAAGATTGCTGTCAAGTCCAACTTGACTCACAGCTGACCCTCAAGCCGACTTCCAAAGCTGTAAATTGGAAGGAAAGAGATTGCCCAGGAGGAGGTGCTGGTGAATTCGTTCCTCCAGAGAGAGGAGCCACCTTTGGGTTCAGTGCAACTCCCTCCGGCCACCACCACCCGAGCCTCCTTCTAGAAAGATTACAGCCAAGACAACCCTATATAACAGGTTTATTCTGTATCACATGGCTCACCATGAGCCAGAATGGACTCAAGGGCAACAGGCTTTTCTTCCATTCACTCGCCTTTCCTGCTCTGTTTTTCCTTTGTTGCTGCGGTTAGTTGCCGTCGGCGATGGTGAATGCCCTGTGTGTAGAGCAGAATTGTTCCACATGGCCTTTAAGGTCGTGGGACTGTCTTTTAAGGAGCTTCTGAGTGGGTCTGAATTGCCAACCTTTTGTCCAATAGAGAACTTTTCCACTTTGCTACCTGTTCTTCCTTATGCTTGTTTTATTGTAGTTGTGCACCTTCCAGAGAACTCTGGAAAGTTTGAAGGAAGTGTACAATCCCATGTAGTCCCATCTGACTGACTGAACACTGTCTTCTGAGCTCCCAGAAGTCAAACTTCCCAGAAGGCAAAATTGATGCCAAAAGGCATGGAGTTTAATGGGACACCTCAGGCTGTGAGGCCACATGGTGTTAGTTAGCCATTGCTACCTGGGTGAGCTGAGGTATGCTTTTTAAACTCTATGAGCTTAAGTTTCCTCACCTGAAAAATGGAGGAATAATATTGTCCTGGTGTTAATGGTATAACAGGTATTAACTGGTGTGGCCCCGAGCATTTTGTTGTTGTGTTGTGTCATCAAGTCACCTGTGACTCATAGCGACCCTTTGAACAACAGCCATAAACCTTGCTCTATCCTGTGCCAGTCTTATTATCTCTGACATTGTATCTCCATTACCCCCACCACTGAATCAATCCACCTCATTGAGGGTCTTCTTCTCTTGCGCTGTCTCTCTACCCTCCCAAGCATGATGTCCCTCTCCAAGGACTGATCCTGCCTTGCAACATGTCCAAAATATGTCAGATGAAGCTTCAGAATCCTTGCCTCCAAGGAGGAGGCTGGCTTCACTGTCTCCAGGACAAAACTGTTTGGTCTCCTAAAACCCGTTCGTTCTCCTAGCAGTCCATGGTATACTCAAAACTCTTATCCAGCACCACAGCTCAAAGGCATCAATTCTCCTTCTATCATCCCTAGTCACTGTCCAGCTTTCTGATGCTGTGATAGGAAGCCTTCCCTGATACTAGTACCTGGTATTTGGACTTACAGGTTCCTAAACTCAAGAGATACTGGCCACAGCAGAAATAAACTGGCAGCAGCTTGAGGTATTTGGAATCATAGAAGTCCAGAAAGCTTGAGACATAAATCTTCACATCAAGGACTGGATAGGGGGAGATAGGTGTTGAATGGAGTAGGTGGGAGTAGAAGGGAATGCTATTGTTTAAAAGTGATATATGATTAGGTATTATTATCATGACAGGAGTCCAGAACAAAGGCTGCATTGTGGAGTGGACTTGGGGGGAGTGACTGCATAACAATGAAATAATTTTTTTTTTTTACTTTTCAAAGAGAAGAACTAATTGGGAGGATGGGTGAGCAGGGAGGAAAATGCAACAATGAATGAATGGAAATCCAAAGTCTCTGTAAATGTTCATTAAAATGAATAATAAAAAAAAAAAGAAGGGAATGCTGGTGGAGCAGGGAAAGGGGTGGGTCAAGACACATGTCAAGGGCAGGGTCAACACTGAATCTATTGGTTATGTCTAAATTGGGAAATGTCTTTGATCTGCCCCTTTCCTAGTATATATACAAAACACTTTAAAAAACCAAACCCATTGCTTTTAAATAAATTATATTTTATAATGGCTCAATGGGACAGAGTGAATCCAAGATTGTAAACTTCTTTATTAAATTATTTTTTTTAATTTTACTTTATTATTTTGTGTGTGTGTATGGTCAAATTGGATCTGACTGGCACAGTAGGAGATTATTGACCTTTCTTCTTCAGTAGAGCATCTGGTGAATTCGAACCACGTACCTCTGGGATTTCAGTGCAGCTTCTTACCACTAGGCCACCAGAGCTCCCCCTGTAACCCTTTTTTTTTTAAAGTTATTCTCATTCACTTTCTTGTTTGAGTGAATGTTTACAAATGATATTGGTTTTTCAGTCAGCAATTCATACATTGTTTAATAATTTCAATTTCTGATCAACTCTTTATTGGATATTACCTTTCCCTTCACCCAACTCATTTATTAATTTTTATTCTCTTCTCTTTCCCTTCCAATCTCTAATAACCAGCCAAGAATTGTCCTATCTGTGTGTAAACCTTTCATATTTCTCCCAAAGAGCATGGGTAGGTTCAAAGCAGGCCTTTTAATTAGCAACTATTTATCTACTGTCCTACCAGGACTCCTCTTTACCTGCCAACTAATGCCAGCTCTAAATGCCTGCATGTTGCAAGCTCTATCTTTTTTATCTATCCCCAGCTATAGTAAGATGAGAATAAAAGAGAGCTTTTCCTTACATTTCACATACTCCTGAATTGTTCCAGTAACCTGCCAGGCATAAACACTCGGCCTTCGCGTTATCCTCCGTTAAGCAATACTTCTTGTTGTTTTCAGTGCAATCAGAGGGACAGCTAGCTGCATAGTTTCAAAACAGAGTGATCTCTGAGTCATTTTCAGAAAGAAACTTTACAACCCCAAAGTGGTATGCCACAAAATGCAATCTTTCACACATTTGCCTTTTCTAGGAAAAAAGAGGCCATCTGAAAGGGTTTATGGGCTTTGCAGGGCATGCACTTGTAAAACGGCTTCCCAGCCCTTAACCAAGATCCCAGTGCAAGTGTGCACATTTCCAAGCCCACATTCACGTCCCTCATATTCTGAAATGCACATGAAATCTCAATCAGTAAAGCAAATATCAAAGTTGACAGAGCAGACAGACCACTTACCCAAACAGAAAGGAACTTGTGAGTTAGGCCTTTGCAACCCAGGTCTGCATTTGCAATTGAACCCATTGCTGCAGCCATCTTCATTCTGTTGACAGCCATAATAATCACACAGACTTTGCCCTAGAAAGGAGGCACAAATAATTTACAATACATTTAGTAAAATGTATGGATAGTTTATGGAAGCACCCCAATCCATTGCTATAGTTTGCCCTTTAATACATTTTGAGATTTAATAAACTGAAATCTGAAGTTCTGAAATCCAGCTCCTCAGTCCTTTCTTCCATGACTGTGTCCTCATATTTTTCAGTCGAAGTTAATTCAATCACTGCCATGCAATGAAGTTCCGGATCTACGGTGGGATTTAAAAGGGGTGAATAGTCATAGAAGCTTTGAGTTCTATCTTTGTAGAGTGACACATTTAAACCCAGAGAGTTGCTGTTGTTGATGTTGTTGTTAGATGCCCTTAAGTCAACTAGAACTCATAGTGGCCCTATGACTAATAGATCTGAACCCTGCTCTGTCCTGTGTCATCCTCATGATTTCTGATATGCTCAAACCCATCTTCTTGTGGTTCTTCTTCTCTTTCTCTGCTCTTCCACCTTTCAAGTATGATGTCCTTTCCCAAGAACTAGCCCCTCCTGACAACATGCCCAGAGTATGTGAGATAAAGTTTCACCATTCCTCCTTCTAAGAAGCACCCTGGTCACACTTCCCCCAGAGAGAGCTCCATAAACTAACTCCTAGTCCGGTAACAAACTGTGTGAGCCAGAATCTAAGTACAACAGGAATTTTCTTCAGTCTCTCCTGCCAAAAAGAGTTAAACAGACCTGGTTAACAGGTGACAAAAGGTCGAGAGTGAGGAGCACACAGGGAAGCTCCCCTCTGCGTCTTTGGAGTTGTTCTGTGGGTGCAGATGTGTTAGTTTCAAGAGAAACAATATTAAGTAAAATGTCTCATGGTCATTTGGAAAACTATAACTTGGTGTAGAGCCCTCTTTATTCTCCTTCCAATTTTCCTTGTCCAGGGATTATTTCTCTGGTGATTAATTTTTCCCCAAAAGCGGACAAGCCAAGTTTGATCATTTAGGAGATGGTAGGACAGAAAGGACAGAAGCCAAGTGAGCAAAGAAAGGGAAGAAGGATTGGCAAAAAGGAAATGTGGAGAGATCTGTGGGTGTGATTATACAGCTCTTCTTCTCTCCTTTCACATATGATGGTCAGATGTACAGAAAAAGGGTGTTAGGTCACAAGATAAACGTTGAATAAAATGATGCAATGCTTACCAGAATAGCTGCTAATGCCGAGTGTGTTATTCTTAATTGCATTATCAATGATTGTAGACACACTGTTCTCGTTAATGCTTGTACTTTTTACTAAGATGTTAACCACTCCAACAGCAATAGCATTGCCAGCACGCATTCCAGATCTTGTTGAAGAAGACATGCTAGAAAGAAAATGAATATGTGCCACTTGGTGAATCAAAGAATCAACAACGCGGTATCCTGACCTCTTGGACTCCCACTTCTACCAAGTTCTCATCTGATCCAACTAAAGAGACTTAGGCTGCAACAGGATGGAAAGTTACAGGCCCTTAGATCTTTATTCAGCATCCTTTCAGAGGAGAATTATGCCCAGAACAAGGTCGTGTTAGAAGTTGCTTAGGGAAATTGTAAGCAACATTTCTAGGATCCGGGAGCCTAGAGCTAACCAAAAATAGAATGAGCAACATCTGACACAGTAAGTGTTTCCTCTTCTTAGAACAGAAGGAATATGTCTCTTGTTGTTATTATTAGGTGCCATCAAGTCAAGTACGACTCATAGCAACCTTATCAACAATGGATCTGAACCCTGTCCTCTCCTGTTTCATCGGCATCATCTCTGACACATTGAGACCACTGCTGCAGTCACTGTGTCAATCCACCTTGTGGAGGGTCTTCCTTTCTTTTTCTGACCTTCCACTTTTCCAAGCATGATGTCCCCTTCCAAGGACTGATCCCTCCTAATAACATGTCCAAAGTACATGAGATGAACTTTTACCATCTTTGTCTCTACAAAGTACTTTGAATGTCTCCTTAGATGTTAATTCTCAAAGTTGTAGTTTGAGAGAGAAAGAGGTGGGGATGGGATGGGTGTGTGTGTGTGTGTGTGTTCCTATGTATGGAAAAGCAGCAACCAGCCAATAGGTAACTGGACCATTCCTTAACAGGACCAAGGAATCAGCAGGCAGCTTCAAAGTATATTCTGGATGGGACCTACGTGCTACAGAAAACTGAAGCAAGGAGAGACTGACAAATATTGAGAGTCACCTACATGTAAGCTTGCTGCAAGTGCGTTCTGGTGGTGTCGTCCATGGGGAGTTGCATTGCAAACACAAAGGGGACACATCTCTGGAGTTTTGGAGCCACTCTGATGTGAACTATTGTTTTTTTCATCATTGTCATCTAGAATTAACTTCCTATTATCCACTAAATCAAATCTAATGCCCCCAAACAAATCCATAGTCCTCACTCAGTTGCCTCCGATACATTTCTAGTTTCAGTTAGGCAAAATACACACCCACCCACTTCCAAAATATTCTATCAGTCCACAGCAAACTTACCTTACTTTATTAATTACAGTCTGCCCATAGTCAGAGCTAGCATTGGAAGCCTTAAAGGCGTTCTTGAACTGTGGAGAAGACCATAAGCAATAGTTTAAGTACAAAGAGCAAAAACCCAGAATAATGGAGCTAGGCTTTAACATAAACAAATTTAAAAACTAACTCATTTAAATATGTGTGGATCATAACATTATTTATTCATGTTATTATGCACTCTAACATCTGTTAGTAATTTTTGCTGTGAAATTATTAAGATTCTGATCTGTAAGAGTTCTTGAAGGTGGGGGTTGTGGAATAGGAACCAAAACACAGATCAAATATAAAGCATCTTCTTAAATCTAAAGATGATAAACTTACTATTTTTTCCAAGTCACAGCTGACTTTTGCATGTTTCTTAGACTTCTCTATAGGAATGCTTGATGCATTCATCAATTTATCAAAGAAACATTTATGCAATCACCTACTTAGGCAAAGGCATTATACTTGGGGTCCTAGAGATTGCAAAGATGGGCAGACCTAGCCCTGCAATCAGGTAGGGGGACCACACTATGAAGTCGAGAGAGGTGAGTGCCATACAATGTACCACGAAACCTCAAAGAAATCCTCTTCCAGTTGCAGAGAACCCGAGAGGCTTCATAAAGACAATAAGGCTCAAACAATCTCAACACGTAAGATCAGGAGAAGGAGCAGCACACTCTAATGCTCAGAAGCAGTGTGGTCCAGGAAGGACGAGCTTGGGTTGAAAAGAGCACCATGGGGATTTGCTGAAACTAAAGTAAAATGTCTGTTTTCTTTCACATAATTTAACTTCACCTTTCTCATTAGAAATTGGAGCAGTAGTTCCCACCACATAAAATTATTTGTTGTCATTGTGTGCTGTTGAGTTGGAATCAACTCATAACTGACCCTCCAGAGGGTTTTCAGAGGCTTCAAATAGCATGGAGGTTGCCCATTCTTCTCTCATGGGGAAGCTGGTGGATTAGAACCACACAGCTTTGAGATTGCAGTGCACCTTCTTGCTGCTAGGCCACCAGAGCACCCTCATACATTTATTATCCTCCTGTTCACGCCTTAAATCAAATCCTCTGTCATAGAGTCAGTTCTGACTCCTAGCAACCCTTTATCAGGTTCCTGAAGCTGTAAATCTTCCTTGGAGATCTGCCCATCTTTCTCCCACAGAGAAACTTGCAGATTTGCACCGTCAACCATTTGTTAGTGGTCTGATAAGTAACGTACTATGTCATGAGAGATCCCTCAGAAATGCGTTTCACAGCACCGTGAATTTTAACTGAGAACACTAAGTGTTGAACCTGTGTTGGAGAGTGTGTGGACAGTACTCATACCCAAATCGGTTTGGATCGTGGTCATCCTGGCCTGAGCTCAGTAAGATCACAAGAGGCAACCCAGGAGTTCCCTTGGAGGTAAGAATATGTTGAGGCTGCCCTCTTCACAGTGCTGTCGTCCAAGTTGGCGAAGTTGAATGTAGATCCAGGGTAAGAGGTCTTTGACAGCTGGCCTGTCTAGTAGAATTGGCACAGCAAAGGAAAGACCACACCCTGGGAAACACAGGCCTTGGGCTCATCCTAACAATCCTAGCTGCCACTTTGAAGCCACAGGCATTGACTCTCTCTATAAAACATTTGACCACCATGTTTTCCAGTTTTACCAAGTCTAACCACAAAATTGTTTAGTAATGAGGTAATGTAGAATCAAAAGACATCAGCATAAATAAAGACCTAATTTTTAAAAATGTGTCTCCATCTACGGTTCTAAGACATATTTACAGGTCAACAGATTCTTCCCTTAAAAGCAAACATTGAGACACAGTGGCTGGGTCTAATGGAGAGCCCTCCACACCTGACCTCTATGGTTCGAGCACCAGCTCTCCACTGACCGCATTCTCTCTCTTCATATTCCCAGTGAATAAAATAACATCATCTTCAGTCCCTCCCATGCTGACATCCTTCTTTCATTATATTCCATATGAAATTAAGAAGCTGTTCTTTTCAACATGAAATTTGACAATGAAAAATAAGGTAATAGGTGAGTGTTAGTTAATTCAGCAGGTTTCTATTTCAGATGTATTAAAAAACAACAGACTCATGTACAACAATAAATGAATGAAAAATCCAAAGCCTCTGTAAATTTTTACTGAAATTAATAATAAATTTAAATGTAAAAAAAAATTAAGTTAGAGTAAGGATGGCAGTGGATCTATAACTGCTCATGCTAATAACACTATATCATGGCATGGAGAAGGAATAGTGGAACTGTATCCACACTTACAATATTCTTCTTACCAAAACCATTTATGGAAAATAGGA